AGTAAAGAGAGAGAGAGAGAGAAAAAAAACTTGTTGAGAACATTTCCCAAATTTGGGTCAAAAGTTGGGAAATCCTTTTAAAAGAAATAGGGTTTTTTTGGGGGGTGGGAAGTGAGGTTTGCAGTGTGTGTGTTTGTATCCTATTTTTTTCTTCCCCAATAAGAGATTTATGACTTGAAGTCAATGCCCCCCCCCCCGACTCCCCTCCCTGCCCCCCACTCCCCTCCCTGCCCCCCGACTCCCCTCCCTGCCCCCCACTCCCCTCCCTGCCCCCCGACTCCCCTCCCTGTCCCCCACTCCCCTCCCTGTCCCCACCCACTCCCCTCCACTCCCTGCCCCATCCCTCCCTGCCCCCCCACTTCCCCCACTCCCCTTCCCCGCCCCCCCACTCCCCCCTGCCCCCCACTCCCCCTCCCTCCCCCCCCTCCCCCCCCCCCCTCCTCCCCTCCCTGCCCCCCCTCCCTCCCCCTCCCCCCCCCACTCCCCCTCCCCTGCCCACCTCCCCCCCACTCCCCCCCCCACTCCCCCCCCTCCCACTCCCCCTCCCTGCCCCCCCCACTCCCCCCTCCCTCCCCCCCCTCCCCCTCCCCCCCTCCCCCCCCACTCCCCCTCCCTGCCCCCCCACTCCCCCCTCCCTCCCCTCCCTCCCCCTCCCCCCACTCCCCCCCCCACTCCCCCTCCCTGCCCCCCCACTCCCCCCCTCCCACTCCCCCTCCCCTGCCCCCCCCCCTCCTCCCCCCTCCCTGACCCCCCCACTCCCCCTCCCCCCCTCTCCCTGACCCCCCACTACCCCCCACTCCCCCCCCCACTCCCCCCCTCCCTGACCCCCCACTCCCCCCCCTCCTGACCCCCCACTCCCCCCTCCCTGACCCCCCACTCCCCCCCACTCCCTGACCCCCCCCACTCCCTCCCAAAAAAAAACCCCCTCAAGTGAGTTTCGCTTTAAGCACAAAAACAACCGAGACTTGACGCATGCGCCGTCGCTTGTTTTTCTCGCCGGCCTCAGCTGCCAATCACAGCCACAGGAGGGGGGCGGGACCTCCTCGGCCCCGCCCCCTCCTCACCGAGCAGCCTTTCCGGATTGGCCGGGGTCGGACGCCCCGCGCTTTCCCATTGGCCGCCTGGGCCCGTCAATCGGCGCTTCCAGGCCCCGCCCCCTCCGCCCCGCCCCGCCCCCCCCCGCGCTCAGTGACTCTATTTAAAGGGACAGTGACCGTCTGGGGCGCAGTAGTTTTTCCCTGCGCTTTGGTTCGACTGTGACCCCCCACTATCAGCACCTCAGGGCGCCCCCTATCCCTGTCCCTCTCTCCCCACACACACACACACACACGCAGTGCCAGTGTAAGCCCAGTCCCGGTGGCCAGGGATGATGTGGGGTAAGTTGAGGAGGTTCACAGTGGTGTTTGACAGCCCCCCCGACCCGGGCTCGACCCCGGTGTACAGCATCGGCGACGAGGTGTCAGGCCAAGTGGTGCTGGACGTGGGCTGCGCCATGAGGGTCCAGTCCCTGAGGCTGCACGTCCAGGGCTGCGCTAAGGTGCACTGGACCGAGTCCCGCAGTGCGGGGTCCAGCACTGCCTACACCCAGAACTACTGCGACGAGGTGGAGTACTACAGCAAGAAAGAGAGTCTCCTCCAAACAGGTCAGTGCTCCCCAACTGCACAGCCCCCGGACAGCGGACACCGAGAGGGAGAGACTCACACACTCACTCACTCACACACTCACTCACACACACACACACACACACGTGTACAGATATGTATCTCCTCTCCTTCAATCTGGTACAATGTTATCTCAAGTTTGTCTTTGCTTCAATGTGTCTCTCTCTCCCTCTCTCTCTGTCTCTCCCTCTCTCTGTCTCTCTCCCTCTCTCTGTCTCTCCCTCTCTCTGTCTCTCTCCCTCTGTCTCTGTCTCTCCCTCTCTCTGTCTCTCTCCCTCTGTCTCTCTCTCCCTCTCTCTGTCTCCCTCTCTCTGTCTCTCCCTCTCTCTGTCTCTCTCCCTCTGTCTCTGTCTCTCCCTCTCTCTGTCTCTCCCTCTCTCTGTCTCTCCCTCTCTCTCTGTCTCTCCCTCTCTCTGTCTCTCCCTCTCTCTGTCTCTCTCCCTCTGTCTCTGTCTCTCCCTCTCTCTGTCTCTCCCTCTCTCTGTCTCTCCCTCTGTCTCTCCCTCTCTCCCTCCCTCTCTCTCTCCCTCCCTCTCTCTCTCTCTGTCTCTCTCTCCCTCTGTCTCTCTGTCTCTGTCTCTCCCTTTCAGTCTCTGTCTCTCCCTCTCTGTCTCTGTCTCCCTCTCTGTCTCTGTCTCCCTCTCTCTCTCTGTCTCTCCCTCTCTCTGTCTCCCTCTCTGTCTCCCTCTCTGTCTCTGTCTCCCTCTCTGTCTCCCTCTCTGTCTCTCCCTCCCTCTCTCTCCGTCCCCCCCGTCCCCCCCACTCCCTCCTCCAAAAGTTCTTGGAAAGTTTTCACGCTGTGGGTATGAAGTACAAGGGATAGGGTTGGAAATGGCTATTGTAGTTACCTGTTTCCTAATTGTGTCGATTTTTATATATTATGTGTCAATCGTGAGATGGAATCGACTTGTACTCCTTTCTATTTGGTTTGGACTTTTTTATTCTTTTTTTTGCAAAAGTGACTCTTTTTTTGGTCTCCCCAACCCCTGTGGAGTGGAGGAATTCCTTCTGATCGTTTTTCCTTATACAAATATGTATATATATATATATGTGTGTGTGTATGTGTGTATTACTTTTTTTTCTCAAATATAGATTTGAGGGAAAAAAAAGTAATCATTGCATTTTCCTCTCAAGTTTATATATATTTGAGCGGAAAAAAAAGTAATCATTGCATTCTTTGAGATTTCTGGAAAGCTTTTGTGGCATTTGTAGAACACGGTTGTGGTCCTGAGATGCAGCAAATCCGAGTTTTTAAGTGAAACTTAAAAACGCATTGGTTGTACGATTGCATAGCGTGAGAGAGAGAGAGAGAGAGAGATAAAGATAGAGAAAGAGAAAGAGAGAGGTAATGCATTTTCTTGAGGATTGCACTGTCATTTATTTCCTGGAATTATGTCGTTCGCAGAGTATTTTATCTGACTGCGAACTGTGGAGTTTTAAAGCACTTTTGCTTAGGGTAAATATTCTGGTTGGTTTGTGTGTGTGTGTGTGTGTGGGGGGGGGGGTGGGGGGGAGAAAGCCAGCAGATTCTTTCTCAAGTGTTTTGTTTTAATCGGCTCAAAGGTCGACTATTTCAGCAGGGAAAAGGTCACCGCTGTAAACTTGTATTTGCCCCTCTTCTAGTCTTAACATTCAGAATTGCCGGATAGTTGTCACGATAAAAAGTTTTTTCTTCTTAAAGCCATCGCGCCTCAGACTCACTGGATCTCTCACATCTTAACTGGTAACAGAAGTGTTCCCAGTGGCAGCAGTGATTCACGTCCCTAATCTTCCGCCCCCACCCCCACCCGGGAGGGACTGAGGCTCCCGATGTGTCTGTCCTACGTCCAATTCCGAGTGATGTTAATCTTTCTTGTTCTATGTATTGGAATCTAATCCCTGATCTCTTAATTATATAATTGATACTCAGTCGTGTGCAACTGGCTGCCGTGTTTCACCCACAAAATACACAGTCAATTCATTCTACCATGTATTCTGTGAAGCTGTCAGATGTCTCAACAACGTGATGAGGCATTAAATCAAATGCAGGGATTATTAGTATCTCTGAGCCGCTCTCGAGTGAAGGGGGTAGGAAATACCAGAAATCCTACAAGTGGGGGAAAAGTTGGGAGGGGTGGGGGGTGGGGGGGCGGGGCACGAACTTCAGACTTGTCTCTCGCCCTGAAGTTGTTTCCATTTTAACAATTATGAGGAGGTTTTTGAGAAGGGAGGAATTGAGAGAGAGGTCACCTTCAAAGTGGAAACATTGAGGTATTCGTTGAATCTAACTGGCGACCAGCCCAAAGAACTCAACTCAACCAAGGCCTCTGCCAAACTCTTCTTAATAGATGCCGGGGCGTAGCTGTCCTACCTGAAAGCATCAACCTGTGAGCCCGTTGTCACCAAGCACAGATAACGTTCCTCTCAGGCCCTCTCTCTCTCTCCCTCACCCAGCGGTCAATTCCATACTGAGTCAGAATGGTTCCTCTGCATCATTGACCAAGGTGTGAATGAGCAGGGCAGTTATTAATGTCGGACAGAGAGAGAAAAAAATCTTTAATGGATTATTTAAACTAAACCTTTGGCTACCTTTCAATTATTTCCATCCTACACCCCCCCCCATTCCCCCCCACACACACCCCAAACCACAAGCCCTGTCCTTTGATTCCTGACCACATTGGAAACTGCTTGAGCCTCCACAACGTCTATTAATACTTGAGGTTTCTCCTTGTTCAAGGAGACCTTCCTCTTCGATCGTGCCTACGGTCGCCTCCCCTCTCCCCCCCCCACCCCACCGTCCCCCCCCCAGGCTTGGCATCAAGCTCCGCCACAGATAAGCACTCTGGGACGCTACCCTGTTTGAGGGGCGCTATATAAATGCAAATCATTGTTGTTATTGACATGCCCCAATGCAAGTTTCAACCCAGAGTCTTAACGTACTGTGGTTCATTCACCTGGAGTTGTGCTATTTTTATCGAGACCAAAATTCATGGGTTGTCCTTGTCCTATAGTTCAAGCTTTATTTATCTTTTGAAGGTGGGGGGGAGAGGTTTATCATAAAAAATGGGACATTTTCAGTTTATTTAACAAAAAAACTGCTTGTGCCGTCTCGCTCTATCGCTCACTGACCTTCATGAGGGCAATGGGTGTTTGTCTAGCGTTCTTACCAATATCTCCCACGGGAATTTGACACCAGACTTTTTTGTTGCCAGCGTGGATAATCCGTCCAAAGGTCCCTATCTTTTTTGAGAAGTTTTTTTTTTTAAAAACACAAAAAAATGTAACCTATAAATCCCGGTCTTAATGTTTATGTATTTAAAAAAAAGATATATTAAATAAAAATTGTCATTTATTTTCAGATAGTGGTGAGCTGACTGTTCTTCAGCCTGGGAGACATGAGTTTCGGTTCAGCTTCCAGCTCCCTGAGGAGTAAGTATCTTCTTCCTCCCTCCCTTTGTTGTGGTGTGATCTATAAATTGGGGAGGGAGGGATCTTGTGTGTGTTTTTTGTGTGTGTAAATTGGGGGAGGAGGCAAATTGGTTCCAATTTGTATGAAGTTCTGAAACTCTTGTAGCCATTGCTTCAATTCTTTCCCCTCCCAAACACGTGCACACACACACACACACGTACACGTACACACACACACACACACACACACACGTACACACAGACACACACACACACACGTGTACCTAATATTTTACTGTCGGTTTTGAGAAACCTCAACGAAGCGCAGAGGTCTATAGTGCAGCTCAGAGCTAAGGCTGGAGAGAGAATGGGTGGAGATAAATCAAGAAACAGTGGTTGGATGAGACTGAGCTTGTGGTTTAATAGTCTGCGGAGTGTAGGAGGAAGGGAGGAGGGGAACAGTGCTCCAGCTTTAAGAAAGAATAAGTTAGAGTAGGCGACGAGTCCTGATTTAGCCTTGGGAGGAGATTTTAAAAATGTAATTTTGTTGTAGTTGGTTACACATTAATCGTAGCAAGAGCTGAGATCCATCTCAGACTGATGGACTGCAAATTGTCCCCGTGTAATCCACCATCTTTGTGACTGAGTGGCTTCAGGGTAACTGTATCTTCTGAACAATTTGTCTAGTTATCTTTTTAACATGGATTTTTTTTTCTCTCTCTACCCCCAGAAACCTCGTGACCTCGTTCGAGGGGAAGCACGGGCGCGTGCGCTACTGGGTAAAGGCCAAACTCCACCGTCCCTGGGCAACCGTGAAGAAAAGCAAGAGGGAGTTCACAGTCATCGAGCCCATTGATATCAACACACCCTCGATGCTGGTAAGCACCAACTTCTCACCGACGATTTTTCTAAGGGGTCACCAACAGACCTTTTCACTTCCTCTGCTGGGTCAGAAGGTTGTGGGTCCAATCTCAAGAATGGGACCTGAACTCACAGTCTAGGCTTGCTCTGCAGTGTTGTCAGAGGTGACGTCCTTTGCACGCGATGAGGTCCCTACTGCTTGTTGTCACGTGGATGTTAAAATCCCGTGACAGTATTTGGAAAAGCAGAAGTAATTTCTTTCAGCTTCCTGCCCGATAAACAACCCCTTTCAATAAGTTTGTCACTCATCATAGCGGCAATCTTTAGCACCTCGCTGTGTGCAAATTGACCACTGCATTTTCCTACAAAGATTAAGTGGTTGCCCCACACGACAGTAATTACCTGTGAGGCGTTTTTGAGATGCTTCAGTGTGGTAGGACGTGATGTAAAAGCACATTCCTTTAATTCCACCCCACTCCCCCCTCCACCACCCAATTAAAACCTAGAGCATTTTCGTCTCCTCATTATTCCTGTGAATATTGCAGTGGGAGATGAGTTCTTGACACGAACGCGGTCCTCATTCATCCCCTGTTCTCTACTGCTAGGCTTCTCAGGCCGGTACAACAGAGAAGATCGCTCGGGTCTGGTATCGTAACCTGGGGCAGGTGTCTCTCACGGCTAAGATCGAGCGGAAGGGATACACGCCAGGTACCCACGGCTGTTACAAACTCCAAACTCTGTTGAAAAGAGACCTTTTTGCTTTTGTAGCCAAAGTGTGAGACTCACTTAGGCCCAAGCAGGGGAGACACCAATTGTCTCCGTTCCTGATCTCTTGCCCGGCAGATAACAAGTTTCCGCTTCCCACACTGGCCCACCAAGGCCAAACTGCTAACATCTCCCCCCGTCCCAGAAGCTGGACAGTTGCTTCGAGAATACCTTTCTGTTAATTACACCCTTCCCTGCCTCCTGACTCGCCCCACCATTCCATTAAGCCCCTGTCCAGTGAACCAAGTCCACTTTGCTGGGCTGAGAGACGCACAGGTTTCAAGTGATGCTGAGCCTGAACCTCATGGCCGAATTATGGATGCTTGGGTTAACTTAAGGAATGGGGGGGGGGAGGGGTGCAGAAATGGGGCAAGGAGTGGGAGGGGGATTTTGCAAACTGTTAAAACTTGTGTTCAGTTGACGAAGGGTTAGTAATTCTGCTTTCCTGCTCTCCCAGGAGAAGTGATTCCAATCTTTGCTGAGATCGATAACTGCTGCTCCCGTACAGTCTTCCCGAAAGCCTCCATCATCCAGACCCAAACCTTCATCGCCAGAGGGACGAGGAAGCAGAAGAAGTCAGTGGTGGCCACGCTGCTCGGGGAGCCGGTGACCACTCGCAAGCGGGTATCCTGGCACGGGAGACCCCTGAAGATCCCGCCCGTGTCCCCCTCCCTGCTGCAGTGCAGGATAATCCGTGTGGAGTACACACTGAAGGTGAGGATTTGATGTTAACTTTTTTTTAAAAAAAACAACTTATGTTACGTTTCCTTCGCGTTTTCATCAAAGGACGTATTGGCGAGCAGATGACGATCCTACTCGTTGCCTGCATTGGCTTCGCCGCCTCCCCACCCCACCCCATCTCTCCCAAACGTCCATCCTTCGGATGAGATGTTAAGATGTTAAGCCCAAACCTTCTCTGCACCTGTTCAGATGGACGTTAAGGATCCTGCGACACGATTGCAAAAGAGAAGGGAGTTTCTCCCAGTGTCTTGGCCCTCAAACCTCAGCATAAATTGATCATTAGCTTCGCGGTTGGTTGTGGCTATTTGCTGCGCGCACATTACATTGGCTGCTACATCTACCTGTAAATGCACTCACTCGCAAGCAATTGCAGCGTGAAGCAAATTGAGACGGTTCACGGTTCTAGTCGTCGATAATCATTGTAACGCACTCTTGTATTTCGCTCCCAGGTCTACGTTCAGATCCCAGGAACATCCAAGTTGTCCCTGGAGCTGCCGCTGGTGATCGGGACAATCCCACTGCACCCATTCGGAAGCCGGACTTCCAGCATCGGCAGCCAGTACAGCTGCGACATGGACTGGCTACGGCTGACTCTGCCAGAGAGACCCGAGCGTAAGTAATCGCAGAGATCGGGAATTTTTTTTTCCACAACGGGGATCGCAGTGGATCAGCTCCAGTGGAGAGCGAGCACCAGCTCTGACACTTTTTTCTGTTTGATCAGCCGGGTGGTCTGACACGTGTGCAAATCGTGGTTAAGAGTCTCCAAACCAAGCTGACGTGAGAGGAGAGAGAGCAGCAGCTCGTGCTGGGAGAGGAGGGGGGGAGGAGGGACACCAGTTAATGAGGAGAGGGCAGGATGTGGCAGATGGTGTTGAAACCTCTTGACGTTACCCGGACGATGATTTGACGGTGCGACGTTTGATTTTTTTTATATATATATATATAGCTCCTCCTGACTACTGCGAGGTAGTGTCCGGGGAGGAAGGCGGACGGGCAGCCCAGGACCTGCAGCTGTCGGAGGAGCTGGTCAGAGCTCTCGAGCGCCCTTTCCTGGCCTACATGCAGGAGTTCCGATACTGTCCTCCACCCGTCTACTCTGAGGTGAGTTTGTTTAACAGCCCATAGCTCGAAATCCCACCTCGTCTTAGCCTACGAGGCGATTGCGTCTTTTATATAAAAAAAACACACACATAAAGATTGCGTGGAATCGTAGAAGATTCTTCAATTCGGTGTCGAAGACGCATTGAGTCGCTGTATCAAGCAAGGATTAATATTATTATTTATTTGCTAAGCCAGTGTTCCCCAATTCTTAAAAAGAAACCCAACTTCATTTATAAAGCTGGGCAAGGATTTCTTTGGCAAACCTGTGCACGACAACTACAACAAAATTGCATTTAAGCGGAAGGAAGGAAGGATGCCCCAAGGTGCTGGACAGTTAAGGGTTTGCACCCGAGCTGAGGGTTGTAATTGAAATGACAATTATTAATAATAATCCTTGATATAGCACCTCATCACGGCATCGAGATGTCCCAAAGCGCTTCACAGAATCGAGTGTAAAGTGTATATTTTTTGGGCGAAATTGCAAATTACATAATCTCTGCAAAAACCGCCTTTACTGTAAACTCCACAACTGGCAAATGAAACTCACTTGGCTTTTTGTCTTGTGTTTTGTTTTATTTGCTGTTCTTCAGATCGACCCTCACCCTCGATGTATGACAAGCTGAAGCACCTGCGACCCTTGAACTGCGCGACTTCTAACTTCTGACCCTTACGACCTTGGACATTCTCCAGGCGTTTTGGAAGAAATTCCGGAGCTATAGTCCGGAACCTGAGCGAGAAAGAGAGCGAGAGAGGGGAGTGAATAGAGGGGTAGGACGGAGGAAGAGGGGGAAGGTGAAGAAATTCTCCTGCGTAACCAGGGCCTCTCACCGTTTGCCAGCTCTCTCCTTTCCTTCTCTCGTATATTGTGTCGGCCGCTGCAGAGCCGATGGCTGTGAGGAGAGTTCCGTTCTGCGTGGAGTGTGTGTGTGTTTGTGTGTGTGGAAGATATACCGTCATGACGCTAGTGTGGGGACAGCTCGAGGAGCCTTCCGAAATGCCACTCTTTTAACACCGCGTGACTCTTGGCACTGCTACGCTTTGCTTTTGTCAGCGCTGGTGACGTGCCAACCACTCTGGGCATTGCCCTGTACAGTGAACAGTGTCCAAAACGTGCTGAAAGGTCGCATGTTTTCTCCCCGGGACAGACTGACTTGACTTGCTCCAGTCCCGAGCTCCTCTGTATCAGGTTGGACTGGTATCTGAGTGGGCGATTGTTGGCATTATAATTGTCTCGATGTACTTAATGCGTTAATAATGTGCGTGTCCTGTGTGATCTGCGGGCGAGTGCTGTCCTCCCGGAGATGGACTGCCATTGCACTGTCAACGCGTGGATTGGGGACCCGTGGGAATGATCACAGGAAGAGTCTGGAGGAACTTCCACTGACATTTACTTAATGTTCCAACTCTTTAAGCACACACGCGCGTTCACACAAACGTACCATTCAAGCCAGGGCTCCAATATACAGATTATTCAACCGGGGGGCAGGAACAGGGAATTGGGATTAGAGTAGTTGGCTCCAGTGAATGAGCTCCCAGCGGGTTAGGCGCAATAGGTCGACTGGCCGCCTCCTGTGCTGTATTTTCTATGATTCTTTCAATTTTATATTGGGTTGGTTCTGATACCTGGAACCCTCTGATCTTACAAGGGGAACTGACTCCTCGATCCTGTGATTAACCACTATACTGTTCCTGTGGGTAGTACTTACACACACTCACAGGGCGGGAGAGCTTGAATGCATTCCCTTACTCACTCCGCAATATGTCTCCGGTGACCTTAATACTGTGGTGATACCTCCTGATTGTGGGAGGTGGGAGAGTGTCAATCAGGCACATTTCAAGGGCAAAGCATTTCGTAGCGCAACGCAAGATCTTTACGGCTATCTGTACTGATGACAGTCCCCTTGTTTTAATACTGCGCCTTATCACGTCATCAAAGCGTTTCACAGGATACACAGTAAAGTGGTGTGACCGTGTATTTTGTGGGCGACGTGTTGTGTAAAACCACAGGATAGAAGCGGATTTCCCCCCTTCTATGTGTACCACTTTGCGAAGAATTCAGTATAAAATGGGAGAGGAGACGAGGCTGGGGGGTGGGGTGGGTGGGTTGGTGAGAGATAGCACTATGCACTATTCGAATGTGTATTTAAGTATGAATTCAGGAATAGTCATTCTGTAAATCTGTAGAGAGGTACATAAGCAGGGATCGATTTGACATGTGCCTTTTAACTTTTTTTAAAAAAGTTTTTTTTTAAAAAAAACTTTAATTCCAGTATTCTATCGAGTGAATGTGCTGCTTTTCAGAATTAAAGGAAATGTATTCACCTATTTTCATCATCTATCCCTTCTGCTTTTTATACCAACGAAGAATTTGTATGGGAGGGGGAAGAGTTTCAACATTTTTTTAATTGTTTTGTACATTTTTGGGGGCTTTAACTGCACAAGATATAAACGTACCTTATTTTTGTAAATTTGTCTTTGTCAATAAACAGCTGTGGTTCTCATTATGCGATTGACTGGTTGATGCGTTTTAAAGACTGGTCTGTTAAAAGGCGCCATTTCTGGTTCTGGTAGAGGGTATACAAATAAAAAAAATAATCCTTGCATTTGATATGGCACCTTATCACGTCTTCCGAGATATCTCAAAGCACTTCACAGAATATACTGTCAAGTGAATTGACTGTATGTTTTGGGGGTGAAACACGGCAGCAAATTGCTCACAGCAGCGTCCCCACAAACAGCCGTGGACTGAAGTGACCAAATTATTGTTAGTATAGTCACTGGTTCAAACCGCACGGGATAACACACGAGTTTCCTCAGTCAAATTACACCAGGTGTGAAAATGCTGAAACGTGGGGTACGTTAAGCATTGACCAGTTTCGATTCTGGCTCTTTGCAATGAGCTGATTTCAGGGGCGATGGGGACGGCCTTGCTCGGGGTCTTTCTCTTCTCTCGTTCCCTACTCAACGAAGTGCATGCGGTCGATGCTGGGTGACGTGACAACAGCAACAACTTTAACAGCATGACGTCTGGCCTGTTGGCAGCGACTGACGAGACTGCTGGCTCAAAATAGGTAGGTAGTGGCTACACCACAAGCCTCGTTGGATGAAGCATGGTCAATGTGTGGCAATAAAGTCGCCTCAATGAACGTCTGGGGGTTATTACTAACGGAGCAAGCTTGAAAAAACAAGTGTATTAAAAAAAAGTTGTTGCCCCACTAATCATCAGCGTTAAAGCCAAGATTGTTTATAGCTGCAGCTCCGGCCTGTGATGCAAGCCTCTGTGACCTCTCTATGTGACAAGACGTACTGTCCGTCTGTCCCCAATGAACCCTGCGGAATGTGTTTATTAAACTCTCTGAGCTCAGGCCTGGCTCCGTGCCCCTGGGAACGTCCTAAACAGCCCACGGTTTAGGCAGACGGAGCACATGGACCTGACTCCATCCTGTTCTGCTGACATCAGAGCTTCAGAGGTTCATCAAACTCCCAGCCCCAGTTTCGAATCACGAGTAGTAAATTCTGCCCGGTTTTAATTTCATCCTATGACTCCCACAGCTGTGAGGCCTTGTTTTGGCTTGGCCTTCACACAGCTTGACCTCGAACAGCTTCATACTCCTTGACTAGGAAAAGCTTAATAATAATGCTCGCATTTGATATAGCGCCTTATCATTGCGTCGTTGAGACGTCTCAAAGCGCTTCACGGAATACATTGTAAAGTGAATTGATCGTATGTCTTGTGGGAGAAAATGGGCAGCCAATTGCGCCACAGCAGTGTCCCACAAACAGTCATGACCATATTTTTTTATGGGATTATTACCCCCAGAAAGCGATGTGCCAATTAACTAACAACCGGGTTCCCACTTACTGCTAGGTAAACAGAGGCATGTGAAGTAAGAAAACTGGCCTAAGATCTAGCCCTGGCCAGGAATCACGCCCGGGTTCTCTTGCTTGCGAGGCGAGTGCTCCAACCATTACCCTACAGTACTCCTTCATTGTCTTTTCCCTTTCGATCCCATTTATATTTGTTGCTGTTGGAGGGAATGCAGAATGATTTGTTTCCCTTATACCTTTTTCCAGGCAGCTCATAGTAGCCAAACACAAAGCCTGCCTGCAACAGAAGCCAAAAAATACTGTTTCCTTGTTATTCAACATTACTGAATCCAATGACATCTGACCCCTTCTGTGTACAATTGGCTGTGCTTTTCACCCACAAAATATACGGTCAGTCCACTTTACAGTAAAAACCGTGAAGTGCCTTTATACGTCTCAAATGCAAGGATTATTATTATTATTCTGCTCCTCTCCCTTCAGTACAAGTAAGACTGAGATGAGTTGTCCATATTAGGGGACGTCTTGTACAAATACCTTCTGACTTTGGATCACCGTGAGGACTGATTCATTTCCGCAGAACTCGCAGTGACAGCTAAATATCCCAAGGTCAGTCCCGCTCCTGACATTCAGGATCCCCTGTCGTCCGAACATAAAGTAATAATAATAATTTAAAAAATCTTTGCATTTGATACAATGCCTTTCGGGTCAGGAGGCTGTCTCAAATCGCTTCACAGGATACACTTAAAGTGTAGTGACCGTGTATTTTCTCGGCAAAGGCGGTAGTCAATTAGTGTACAGCGTTGTCCCACATACAGCCATGAAGTTGTGAAGTGAGTGACCAGTTTTATTTGGGGGGTTGTTGGCCAGGACACCGGGGGAGAAATACTCCCACCTCTTTTCCAATGGGATCTTCAAAGTCCATCTGAACAGGCAGATGGGACCTTTAACATTTTATTCTGAAGGCTGGCAATCGAGCACAGCCCCAGGGAACTGTATTACAGTGGTAGCCTTAACACAGTCAGCATTACAAACAGAGAGCATTCTGCAGTCTGCTAACTCAGCACAGACTCGGAAAATCTCTTGGTCTCCATGTACCCACTGAGCTATATCGGGGAGCGATAATTAAATAGACAGACACTGAGTTTCCGAGTTCAACATCTTAGCTTCCCTAAAGTTGCTGATGTGATAGAGAAATGGAACGTGGACATGAGTCATAACTTGTTGTGTAACTTGTGTCTTTGTCCTTGGTGATACTTGCTGGCATCGTGTACCTTCTGCATGTTAATAGGTCAGCCACATGAGTGAAGGGCCAGGTTAACACAGTCAGCAGTAGCCCCCAAAGAGTTTGAGGGGTTTATCTATCGCATTACCTCTAGAGTGAGTTTAAGCTGATATCTAATTGAATGGTTTGGAGGGACGGGGGGTGGGGGGGAGGTTATATATAGAATAATGGGTCCTCCCAAATTGGGTTATGACCTGGAATCTAATTCAGTTGTGTGCTTGGTTTATGTGTTGAATGCTGTTGTGTAGTTAATGGCCAGATCGAGCTGAACAGACCAACCAGGTAAAGAAAGATGTCTTTGAGTGTTCAAGCATCCTCCAGGGCACGACAGCCATTTGTGAGAGAGACATCCATTGGTTGGATCAATAGAGCGGTCTGTGAACAGTAAACAACACCCACAGTGTGGAGTACCCTAGAGTAGTGGTCAGAGTGCTCGCTTCGCAAGTGAGAGGACCCAGGTTCAATTCCCAGGCAGGGTGAAACATTAGGCAAGTTTCCTTACTCCACGCGCCTCTGTTTACCCAGCAGAAAGTAGGAACCCGGTTGTTAGTCAATTGGCGGATCGCTTTACTGGGGATAATAATCGCTTAAAAAAAGTTAATAATAACAATCAATAACTCAATCCATGACTGTTTGTGGGACACTGCTGTGCGCAATTGGCTGCCATGTTTCGCCCGCAAAATGCGCAGTCAATCCACATTACAATATATTCTGCCAAGCGCTTTGAGACGTCTCAGAGACGGGCTAAGGCGTTTTATCAAATGCGAGGATTATTGTTATATTCCAAATATAATTATAATAAAACAGTTCAGAAGTCGACACCAGGCCATGTGATGCAATAGGGGATCACCAAAGTAAGCACCAAAGAGGATTGCAGAGACAACGGTATATGTTGAGTAATGCTTTGTTCAGCCGGGAGGGAAGCCTGCTCTCAAGCACAGGGAGGTTCAGCTCATTGCAACACACTAAAACTTTAACAGTGGCAAGAGATACGTGCAATTCGTGCTGATGATTCAGATGATTCATGTTTTCCTCCCTGAAAAAATAGAAATGATTATATAATTGGGACTTTTAATGCATTTATGTATTATATGTATTTAAAAACGATCCATCAATCGACTAACAACCGGTTTCCCACTCACTGCTCGGTAAGAAGAGACGCATATGTGTGTGTTTGGAGCGAAGAAATTTGCTTGAGATTTCACCCTTCCCGGGATTCAGACCAGGGTCCACTCACTTGTACTCTAACCCCTACACTACAAGACTTTAAATTCTGCGCCAGCTGAAACTTTAAGACAGAACTGTCACCCGGGCTAAAAACTGGGTAAAATTTTGTTCCTATAATCAATCTTTAAAAGGCCCCCAAAAATTTAGGAAACGTTCTTCTCAATATTTTGCTCTAGAAAGTATTGTGATCTTTTCCCACATGCTTGTCACTCTCGCCTGATGTTTGTCTGTCTGCCCCTTCTCCCTCTTTCTCCTTTGCCTTGTCCTCCTCAGCTGGCTGGCTCGGTCTGGGAGACAGACTGTGGGTGACCTGGAAAGTCCTGAGCGTGTGTCAAAGCTGAAGCCTGCAGAGACTGTAAACTTCAAACAGCAGGAAAGGTCGTGTTTTGGGAAAAACGCTGGGTTTACTGTAATCATTGCGCTGTCACAAAGTTCCCAGGCTGAAACCACCTCCGACACAAAGCTCCAGTTCTTGTTTTTCACACCCTGAGAAAGCTTAGCACGTCAAATTCCAGCCAGATAACAGCTGGCGATTACATGCTATTCATTGAAACCTCTCCTCGGAATTAATAATAATAATAATCATAATATTAATAATAATCATAATAATAATGAATTTTGACATCCATTTGATACGGCGCCTTATCACGTTTTCGAGACGTCTCAAAGCGCTTCACAGAATATACTGTAAAGTGAATTGACTGTATATTTTATGGGTGAAATGCGGCAGCCAATTGCGCACAGCAGCGTCCCCACAAATAGTCGTGGATTGAGTGACCAAATTAACATTTTTTTTGAAGGGATTATTACCCCCGGAAAAGTGATCCGCCAATCGACTAACAACCGAGTTCCTACTTATTGCTGGGTAAACAGAGGCGTGTGGAGTAAAGAAATTTCCCTAATGTTTCGACCTAATTCGCCCAGAAATCGAACCCGGGTCCTCCCGCTTGCGAGGTGAGCGCTCTAACCACTGAGCTACAGGACTCCTCACTGGTGCAGTAGGGGGCGTTCTCCCACACTTGAGGTTGAGGCAGGTATTCGGGCCAGAGTTTGGGCTCTAGCTTTGTTCCAAGATTGATTTCTAAATTTAAAGTATTTCCCGGGAACCAGCTGGGCTGTGCGAGGCTATGAGATCTCGGTGCAGGAAACATATGGATGAGGCTTGAT